GGGATTGCGAATTTACTGCAGCCAAGTAAGTACAACGGCATGCTTTATGTATCTATGGAATCAGTTGGAAATTTAAAGAGTCACCTGTCCAGTCATTTAACCCTTAATTTAAGTCTTCATACTGTATTATGTGTTCTTCGTATAATTTTGTTAGGAAGCATTAGCAAAACGCAAAAGCAGCGTGATATTGCCGTAGGTACAACTCAAAGGCTATTAATTATGGCGGCTTGTCCAGCTGAACGTTGACGTAATTATGCTTGTGAAATAAAAGAAGGCGAGGTAATTTCATGTCTGCTTCTCTCAGCAATCAAACGTATCAAGCAAACGTTATTAGTAGGTAGGGAAGCACGCGCATATTTTTTTCAATAAGATGGGTTCAAGCAGGTACTTATTCATCGATTTTCAATTAATCTTTATAAAGTCCAAAAAAATAAAAGTTTAGCCCCTAGTGTTCCGTTGGTACTGGTAAAACTCAAACATCAGCAGAACCAACGCAATAGAGAATCTTCAGGAAAACTATAAAAAAGGGAATTGTTTCAGATGACTTTCACCAAGCCGCATTACACTTCAGTGATGAATAACTGATCCCAATCAGATTGTCTAATAACCAACCAGAATAAGTATATCTAATCATATGTAGATATGCCTGTAAGTTTATATTTTCTCCTTATAAACAAGACCTAGACATTTTGAAAGCCTGTAAATTTGATTAGCATTGCTAGTGGAGACTCAGTTTTAGTAGTTAATCAGACGGGTATTCAAGTGTTATCATCAATGTACCAATTTGACGACCTTATTAGATACTATATTATCAAAATATTTTTTTTTTGTTCATATGAATATATACATTAATGTATACATATAGTGATACCAAAAAGTTTGTTTTGTGAAAAAATCTATTATTTATATTTCCAAAGTGATTTCGAGCGGAGGACTATAGCAATAAACATAATGTAGTAGATATGTCTCTTGCTGAAAACACTGACATGGTAACAGGGCACTAATTTATAATTCACAGTTAGTTTCTAACTCTACACTCCACGTCGAACAGTGGGACAAGTTGATTAGATCAATAAAGACTTCCTGCAGACGGGTTGTTGACTATAAAATAGAAGCCTTAAAAGTATGTACGGTCGCAACACATGCGGTAATGCATGTGGGACGCCGCCATCTGTCTGTGGCTTTGCACCATGCCGACAGAGGTATTTAGACTTCATAATTAGACATAGAACATCGATCATGCATACATTTTTATAATAATTTTTATGCTTTTTTTATTGATGGTGTATATTGATTGAATACGATTATTGGAGTATTTTTACAGTCAATGCGATCAGTATTCCAATAACCCGTATAAACGGTGGGTACATACATACATGATTTTCTTTCTACCACCTAAAATACATACATATAAAACTCTTATTAGAATCTAAAAGGCGAAATAATTAGGTTTATATTTCTCTTATAGTACCTACTTAATTTTCTAAATTATAGATGATCTTCGAAGCCGAAATGTTAGTCCCAAGGGGCAATATAGCCAATTAAACTGTTAAACACTGCGCGGTCACCGGTGACCGCAACCTATTGTTCTTTAATTGTGTCTATAATGACGGTACTCAACGAGTTAAACAATAAGTATCTATTGCATATAATTCCATTATAGGTATCCGTTTTTAATAACAGTAACTGTAGCTACCAACAATTAGATGATAAAATCGCAATTAAAACTTGCACACGACTACAAGGCATTAGAATAAAACTCCCGCCATTTTGCGTAATGGCGCGAAAGCCTTTTACCTCGCGCGTCGTGCCTCGCACAGACTGCTTACTACGGAATTACGGACAACATTTTAGCGTGCTTGAAACTCATTGAGTTATTCTGACATAATAGCCACACAATACTAGAAGCACTTTAACTGTTTATTGACGTTTACAGTAATTTGAATCGCATGCTAGCATAAACTAGTATTCGTACCGTATTATATCATGGCTTATTGATCGGATAGATATTGAATGGGGTATTTGTGAAATAGGTACTTACTGCATTAATTATATGGATACCTAATGATAGGTGTGTCAGTGTGTAGTTGTTTAACCTCCTCACTGAACTTGAACCATTGCAAATTGCAACAATTAGATGTTTTTAAACAAGAGATTACAAGTTCGATAAGAAGTACTTTCTATGAGGTTTACTCTGCTACTGCCTATCAGGGTCTCGATCTTCAAGTCAGTATAGAAAGTGGAAATTCTGTCTTTCGTGCTCCCCTAAGGATATTTTTATCCTCCTTAGTTGGATGGTGTCACACGCAACCTCAGCTTGGGGTCTTGGATTCAATTCACTCACTATGAGGATATTTTAATATACTTACACACATAATTTTCAGAACCTGGTTAAGACCAACAGGTATATGATGTTCCAAATTAAATCTACCTTCCAAAAACATGTAGGTATATTTTACTCGGTGACAAAAAAGCATTTTGAGGAAACATTGGATTATTTTAAACAATCCACCTTCAGCAATCTTGATAATCGCAGTATTTATATCACAGATCAATGAGGCTGTTTACCATTGCTTGGCAATAATGGCATGCCTGGAAAATAGCCAAATAAATTTGAAAAAAAAAATAAACCACTGGAACTCGAGAACTGGAACCTGCGACACTCGCGTTGGTGCTCTTTCCAACTCTGAAATTGGGTCTGCTAAGTAAAATTTTGCTACAGGCTCACACCATAATATAACATGGGACTCATATCATAACTGGTAAAAACCTCTGCCGGCCTCTTCAGAAAGTATAAAGTGTGCTTTTCTAATGAACTGATTAATTTTCATACATTAGGATTTAATATAAAATGTCCACTTCGATAAGTTTTGCGTACCTACAAATGAATGTTTGTAACAAACTGTCACATACAAGTTTTCCCTTCTGAATGACACCTGTTAGTCTGTTGTTTACTTGTTTCCTTAACCATAACAGCTACTTACATTTTACCTATCTACATTTCTACCTATAATGGCATACAATTGGTTTTATTATTTCGGTTTTCCTCAAGGAGTCATATTGGGACCCAACGTTAGTTCTTCCTTTTTTAGTGATTTCTGAACTTAGCAACGCTCTTAACTTTTTTTACAATATAATAAAAGAGTCAAGAGATTTCATGAAAATTTATGGGTAAATTTCATCGTTTCAACCGACCCACGACGTAATGATAGGATTATCTCTTTCTTACTTACTTACCTTACCTATCCCGTGTTACCATGGGAAGTGTAAGCCCTTAGGGTAGAACTTTCTATAGGATACCAAAAAGAGAGAAAAAATCTTTTTATATTATAAAATGAAGATTACTTACAGACAAGTAGTGCATTATTTGTAACTTTAGACACTGTCTGTCCTGCGATGGAACCCTCTGTGAATTGCACGCGCAGTTGACCGGTTTCTATATCAATACCAACGTGTTGCCTAGTGATATAGGATCTTTTCTTTATAAATTTTATTGCTAAGTCTAAGTTGCTGAGTAAATATTGATCGTTACTTTCAAATTTTTTATTGCTCAGGGTACCTTTACTGGCTTTAATGCTGGCGTGTTGTATATTTCAGTTCTTTTATTTATTGGCAGATTGTGTGATGAAATGACGAAATTTTGTTGCCTTATTGATCATAAATGCGATTTTTGAGAAGTATTAGTATGTTACTTTACGTAGGTAAGTAGGTGCTGTTATTGTAAGTACGAGGTTTTCATTCTTACTTGGAGCCATTCGGGCCTATTTCATATTGAAATTATGAGAAACGAAATCTTAGCATTTGAAATGATATCTACGCTTTTGGCAATAGCTCACTGGTGTCTCTATTTGAGGAAGGAAAGACACGATATTATACTGTTTGTTATGTTGCTACTTGCTGTGTCCAAGTATTTTAAAACATAGAATAATAAAACAATAAGTTTGAGATACCTACGTAAACTATTTTCATGTTGGTATCCTTAGAGTATTTAACCTTAACCTAATGATATAAGGTATATTGATATCTAATGTAGGCTTTCTACCGAGGGCGAGTCCCATTAAACATATCTGAACGATTGAGCATTTGTTTATTTATTACAATACTTGCTAGTGCTGAAAGACTTAAATCTAAGACTTACAAAATAACACACAAAAATAATAAATTAGGCTAGCGCTTAAATACAAAAAAATAAATACCCTTTGAAGGAACGTGCCTACAGGTATAGATGTAAAAGTGCTATAATTTTTCTAATGTTTTGCATACACTGAGTCCGTAATTTTCCGGTATAGCCTATTTGTAAATGCACCTGGAGTGCGTATGAAAGCGGGCAAATGTGAAAGCTGCCCAGTCTAGCGGAGACCAAAGCAGCCCTTGACGCTTTGATTATGACTTGCCTCATTAAACGACTTTGTATAACTTTATGCCGCTTACCATTAGTGGGCAGTGTAGGCATTTCAGTAACATTACTTTCTTAACATTAAGCTTAACTAAGTCAAACATACAGTTTCAAAAGGCATTTTACCAGTTATTTTACACGTTTTGGAGTTGTAAGTACCTAGATTTCGTAAGATAATCGAATGGGAACATTATAGGCAGCTATATTTTGAACATTTTCAATCACTTGAATTTTATCCTGCCTCTTATCCAGCTAAAAAAATGATCCCTCAATGTTAAGTTAGATAATAAGGGATATAACTTAATGAAAACCAATAGATAACCCTAACAAAGTGTAATTGTGATTTGTGGTTATGAGTAATATTCAGTGCTAATGCATGTAATGGTGGATAGCAGCACGTAGGTACCTAGGGCTAGGTATAGGTAGGTATCGTAATAAAATCATCATCAATATTAATGACATTTATAAATACTGCGTAAAAAGAAACGTTATATTGTCTAAAAACGAAACAAAGTTGTACAAAATTCTAAAATATTTGTTTCGTCTTTTATTGGAACTTATTTTATACTTTTATAATTAATTAATATTTTATCCCACTTTTCAGTTACAATGATAGCTATTGGGCTTTTGGCTGCAAATACGAAATCGACCACTTTTTGAATCTGGTATTACTGATGATGTCGCCATAGACAAAATTCTAAATTGGCCAGACTGAATTCTTCAGTCAGTCAAAAATGGGGCTGTTGTCAATTTATTTCAAACCCAATTTTTTGGGTTTGTTAAAATGTTTAAACAAATTAAATTGGTTCATTGTGTTCTTTAGTTTAATCAATTTGTCGGTATGCATTTACGAAGACCAGATCGGAAAATTCGACTGGTAAGTGAAGATTTTAGGTTATAGGATTCCTATGTCAATGTAGGCTCTGAGTTGACTGAATTTTTAATGAAATTATGATTTTCAGGCGTCAAACATACGTGGGAAGGATCAAATTTTCCCAATTTGATACAGTATCCACGGCTAAGAAGATAATTGTCGCTACTGAGGAAAATGTTTTGGCAGCACTGAATTTAAAAACTGGTAAATTGATTTTATTGAATGTATCCGTTTTATATGTACCAAACCGGCGTTACTACGGTAAGCTACGTATTGGTGTAGAATCACATTTTTGTGAATTAATTTAATTATTTAATTAATTACAGTAACAGTTGATTGAGTACATACATTCTACATATTTGATGTAATCAATATTTGTTTAAATTGCCCAGTCATTGTTACCTCATTTGCTTCTATCTAATTTTCTAATTAGAGTTACTCTATCCTTCATCCTTTCAACTTTTCTTATTACTTGAAAGAACATAATAATGGTGAATTTATTTAACACAATAAATAAATAATGCCAATTCCATAAAAATACCAATTTGTTCACATGATATGAAAACAGCTGATACTCTAAAGATAACTACTATTTCATCAGAATGATAGTGTTGTTAATAATACTCTATACCCATTAGAAACAAGTTGTATGTAGTTCAAACAACATAATAAATAAGATAAGCAGCACAAACTATAGGTACAGGTAAAATAAACTAAACTTATTATAATTAGTACTTCAAGTTTATCTCATAAAACAGGTTACAAGATTTTCCTCAATGCACACTAAGCGTAACCTACAAGTAACATACTTAAATTAAGTTTTATTAAGTTGAATCAAATTCATTCATCATTTTATTATGTTGCTAATATTATAAATGCGAAAGTTTGATTATTTTTAGTAACAAAGGAGAAGTTAGTAAAGTTAGTAGTAATTGAAGGAGTACCTTCACGTCAAAACCCATTAAGGAATTAGGATGAAATATGAAATAGGTGTAGGTTATGGTCTGAAGCAGCACATAGGCTACTTGTTATCGCATGGAACACGGGTGAAGCCACTATCAGAAGCTAGTTATTCCAAATTTTCTAAGTTATCATTTATGGTTGAAAAGAAATGAAAAGTCATTCATATATAGCTAATTTTAAAGCATTTCAAACCTGAATTAGATTGTTCCGAAAGTTGTATCAGAGCAGTAGAGTCAGCATCTTTCATTGCATACTTTCATAGGTATTTGTATACAAAGGGGTGCGCTATGAGCATTTTGCTGCCCACACTTAAAAAAATTAACAACTTTTTAAGCAATTCACGATAGCCTTGTACTTTTTAATAGCTGCCTCTAGTCTCGTTAGCAATTCGTGCCGAAAGGGTTGACGTTTTAAGTACGCTAGGGACCGGTTGAGAAGATGTTTGTTACCACCAGAGGGCTTACCTACTCTTGAATCCAATTCCGATGGAACGACATTGGTATTGTGAAATTTCGTACTCTCAAGTTGCAACACTAGCGCCCATTGCATCCGTATTGCGTGGATATTGAATTACTTTATATTTATATTCTGTACTCTGAATGCTATTTTAACAGCTACAATAAGGGTTGTATAGTTTTGACATTATATAATTACTAGCTTTTACCCGCGGCTTCGCTCGCCTCACAAAAGGATAAAAAGTAGCCTATGTGACATATACCAATACACACAGCGCCATCTATACCAATACTTTTGTTTTCCCTCGGAAATATCAATTTTTTCCGGGATAAAAAGTGCCCTATTATTTAATCCGGACTTCTAACTTTACGTCTGCAAAAAATCAAAGCAATCGGTTTAGTAGTTACGGCGTGAAAGCAGAACAAACAAACAAACTCACTTTCCGATTTATAATATTAGTAAGAATTGCGTTTTCATTGGATTGAAATTGCATTGACATTGGTTTCAAGAGTAAGCACCCTGGTTTTGCCGGGCGGGAAAATGTTCACTACGCACTCACTGACGTTTCACAAATAGGCGCTCTCACTGTAGGGTTAAGTTGGAGGATAAGTAGCATTTTATTTTGAAGGTAGAAAACCTATCAGAAAACTGCTATTTAAAATTGTAAGTATGGTCTCTGAATAAATAGGACAGACTCTTGCCAGTTACATAATAAGTTTCATGTTATAAGGGGCGAAGTAAAACTGTACTTTGAACTGATCAAACTCCAAGCAGTCACTGGTAACCACTCTATACTAACTCCATTATAAACCTTATTTCCTATGTTTAGATACTACTTTTGTATGAACAAATGTTGAGGATTTTTCATAATCCGAGTTAAAGAGGCCTATCACGGAGATAGGCCTCTTTAATGCACAGAGAGAGACTGATGATGCAGACTGATATTGAATTGGTTTGTCTTCTATTTAGTAGACATTATTTCTTCTATTTTTAAAACAATGATAAACATTTCTAGCAGGCCACTAAATAAAAATGTTGGTTCCATCAGTTCACATTTGGTTATAAGGAAGTAATTTGTTAAGTCCCCTTGTTTTGTGTCCATGTGTTATTGTAATGGCCTGTTTAAGAATTTCACTTTGTTGGATAATTACAGGTTTATGATGTTGATGATAAAGTGATTTTTAATAAATAATTGTTTCTCAGGACAAGTAGTATGGCGTCATGTGTTCGAGAGTGCCTCTACAGGCAACATCCAGCTCCTGCAGATTACAGAGAAGGTGGTCACAGTCTCCGGATCCAACCCTTACTTGGTACGAGGATGGAACTCTGCTACAGGTAATAAATAGCATGACAAATGATAACTCTAAACTCCAGAACCTAACGGTCGCGGAGAACGTAACGGGTAACCGGGGCTCCGGCTCGAAGTGCAGGAGAAGGAACGGGGTGGTTTTTATTCAGTAAGAGTCTGACACTCCTTCCCGCCTCACCCAGGCGGGAGCAGTCATTCGATGATTTTCTCCCCTTAAATAAAAACTCCAGTTTTACTTACTTACAATAATATTTAAGCAAACATAACATCACGCCGTTTGTCCTCAAAGAGGTAAGCAGAGGTCCACCCATTTTTCATATTTATGTTATGCGTCCCATGTAATAGGAGGTGAGCCTATTGCCATATACTGGGCACAGTTCCAGACTCCATGCTGCTACTGAGATTTTTTTTAAAACAACCCAGTAAAATTTTTCCGACCCGGAAATCGAACCCGAGACCCCTCGCCCGCCAGTCACACTTGAGACCACTCGCTTTATACAATATACTTGCTAATATTTAAGTCATGTCTGTTAAAAGTATACTTTAACACATCAACTGTCACTGCTTTGTGGACGATTTGCCTTCAACAGTTTTCTGTCGACAAACGAAGGCTTAAACATCTGACAGTGATCCAGATATCAGTTTAAATGCACTATAAAGTAATAATGATTCTTTCTGAAGGCATAATAATATGTTTAATCCACCTTGTTTCTAATAATATATTTCTAATAAGATTTGAAGTATGATTATGAAACATCATAACAACATCACGCCTTTTATCCCCGAAAGGGTAGGCAGAGGTGCACATTACGGCACTTAATGCCACTGTAATGTAACACCCACTTTTCACGATTTATGTTATGAGTCCCATGTAATAGGGGGTGAGCCTATTGCCATATACCGGGCACAATTCCAGACTCCGTGCTACCACTGAGAAAAACCCAGTAATACTTTGCCCGACCCGGGAATCGAACCCGAGACCCCTTGCCCGGCAGTCGCACTTGCGACCATTCGACCAATGAGGCAGTATGATTATGAGTTCACACAAAACATTCTATTGTTTCAGGCGTCCTCCAATTTGAATGGTCTTTAACTCTTCAAAATGATGAGCAAGCGGACTTCTCAGAGTGGTGGGTGCAGAATGACATGTTGGTTCATATGCTGCCAGTGTTTGGATCACATATTGAAGTCACCATGTACAACCTCGCCACTGGACAAAACAGGGGATCTACCACCAAGTTACCTGCTGTATGGGCTAACGATGGGTAAGAATTTTATGTAGATTTGAACTTTATAATTGGGTAGTTTCCAGGGTATCAAAATTAAAAATCTAATTAGTCCATCAATTATATAATGAAAAAATAGACACGTATTTTTTTATTTTGTCGTTTTACAAAACAGTGCTTAGATAAAACGGAGTTAAGTTTAGGAGTGGGAGGTTTTTACGTCATAACGTGCGACAAAATGTTGCACGCTATGACGTCACACGATATTTCACGAAAGTATTTAATATTGTGAGAAAAAAAAATACGTATCTAAAGTTTTAAATTAATGTACCAGACAGACATTAAAAATAAATTTTAGGAAACTACCCTATTACGTAGTAAGAACAACATAAGCCAATATTATGTGAAAGTGACAGATGGAAACTTGATTGTATGACTGACTACTGGTGTATTTTGTATCTGTGCCATAATTATATTTACCTATCCTATCGTTGCTCTTGATAATGAGATGAAAATATTTTGCAAATATTATCTTTAATATTCTTTAGATAAATAACAAATTGACTTTGACCCCATTTTCGTCCAGTTCAAACTTCTATACAAGATGACAATATTTGTTCATTAATAGAACTTTTTATTATTACAGATGCATAGTAACAGCGCCATACTACACATGTATACACGGCCCAATGGGTAATCAGCAGCTGTTCTCTTTGGACGTCACTTCAAACACGATGCATCTTATAAGCCAGCCACTGTCGGAATACGTTACTTTGTCCTCTTACGATAGTAACCTGCGACCCCTTGATGGCAACGGTATAATACCAGCGTTCACAGTAGATGATAGGAAGATCATTGTAATAAAGAACAGTCGGTTTGAGTTGTTGAAGACTGATGTGGTGGATCCGTCGGCTAGCGTGGCGATAGTAGACATCGCGAATGGTCCCGTTGTTCTACAGACTTGGATTGATGATACACAGGTAATTTTTATAAAGTCTCTAATTTTTATAAAACAGTATAGTATATAACTAGAATATTAATAACAAAGCACTTGTATGGAAAGTACTTCAATCAGTTCAGTATTTCATATCACACATTCTTTGTCTGACTTATGGATTAACCCGGTTGCATACTGAAACTTATCTACTTATGTAACACCTATGTACACAATGCAATAAAGAATTTGCATTTTTGTTTGAACTAGAAACTTCTTATTGGACAATCAATGTCATGTCCACATTTGTATTCATGAAATTATTTACTATTAGAAATAATTTCATTTTTAAATATTTTTCCTACGGCTTTCCAGGGCTTCTCAATGCGAGCTAACAGCGTGTCAACGGGCGCTGAAGTGTCCGAGCTGCGCACGTCGGACCGCGAGCTGCGGCTGCCCGACCCGGAGGTGTCGGCCGCCGTCTGCACCAAGTCTGCGCGGGAACAACTCGTCTGCAGGATACTACTCACTGGAGGAGACGACTCCGTACATCTAATGCAGCAAGGAGGTATGATGTCTTGTACGCTGCGTTTAAATAAAAATAAGTGGTTAAGCAGTTCTCAACTTAATAGAAAGCTCGAAATTATAACAAAGTCGAGTTTTGAAAAATAAAATGTTGTTTTGTACTCGGACAGTATTGATTACGAGTACACATAAACTTACAATCAGTCCTTTATAATGGGGAGTATTTAATTTATTTTGTTGGTGTTGACAAAATATAGGATAAAGATGATTGGTAGACTAACAATGTTGATGTAAATTTTTAATAAAAACCGTATTTATATTCAGGTCGCATACTATGGTCTCGGGAGGAAGCTTTAGCGAACGTCGTGGCTGCCGAGTTCGTCGATTTACCAGTATCAGACTTAGATGCTGCTATTGAGTCGGAATTCGATCAGAAAGAAGGTATGTTGATATTGGACATTGTCATGACACATCATACTTATTTATTATATGAAATCTTCATCGATATCACCCGAATTTTAACACAAATAACTTTAGAATAGCTAAATTTATATTTAAGTAACGATTTTCTAAGTTGGACGCCGCATTTTACGATACCCTTATTTACATTTGACGAACTAAACATTTATGTATATTGTTTATTCTACAATTTTATTTATTTATGTATCTTCTTATGTTCTAGCTGCCAAGATGTATAGTAAGTACAGTAGATGTGTGGTAGTGTGGTCTTTCTTTGAATTTCTTTGAGTTTATAAATAATTCCATGTGTGTGACAAAGAATAACAACTTACAGTCAAAACTTCAAGAGTTGTTTGTGTTAGTTTATACATTCAGTCAGTCGACGTCGCACATGGCCCTCCATTCTGGTAATAAATACACTTAGGAGCAACAAAATGGAGCCACTATCATTTTGGTCTTATCAAACCTCTACAACTTTATAAAGGATGTTTCTTTTACAACAAAATGCTCTCATATTAAAGGTAACTAAATCACCTTTTGTACAAAATATGTTACCAATTAATAAAATACTTGTATCAGAAAATGTTTATCAAGATATGAAAAAGAAGTAACACTCGAAAGAGTGGCTCCATTTCTTTGCTCCTAAGTGTAGGATGTTTTCAAGATAGTTTTTCATAAAATCAATTTCTGATTAGAAAATTGTTTCTAATGAGACATGCGGGCGCTTCTCCAGCCAACGGCCAATATAAACTTTATAGATATACATTATATTCATTCATAGGTATGAATTACCAGAATCGAGCCCTCAGCCGTACACATTTATTGTTACAACCGAAAGACTGCTGGAATCATATACATATTAATGTTATTGATATTTAATGGAAAACCTAAAAACAGTGAATTAAAATGAAATAAAATAGGCTCCAGTGATATTTGCAATCGTGGTAGATGTGTTAATATAAATTCTGAGAAAGCTGATAAGAAAATAGTAATTTTTATGATTAGTGTGTGTTGGCTTATCACCGATAGCCTTTGTTCTTGTATAGAAAGTCTAGCACTAACCTACATTATGCTAACAGACAGGGATGATTATTTTAACTAAGCAGAAACTCAACTTTCAAAGTCGAGTAAAGTATTATTGGCTAACATTTTACATGCACTGAATTGTGCTCAATTTGTAGCATTATTTGTCATTGTTTATATTAAAACTTATGAGACATACTAAATTAATTATTATGTTTTCGGCTTACTCACATAATGGGGTAGACGACTAATTTTTATTTTAATGTCCGTCTGGTAGATTATTTAAAAACATTAGACACGTATTTTTTATTTTCTTACGGAAACGAATAGTTTCGAAGATATATTGATTTGAAATGTCGCGTGACGTCACTTCTCAGTACATTTTATACTAAGAAATGACGTTTTAGCCCCCACTCCTAAACTTTGATTCGTTTTATCTAAGTATTGTTTTATTATACAACAAAATAAAAAAATACGTGTCTAATATTTTTTTATTACCTAAGTTACGGACTAATTATATTTTTAATTTTCATACCCTGTCATCATCCCCATTGTTGAATATGAGCCTCTAGCATGGCTTTATTATTTACTAGTCGAATTCACAATCGTCGAACAGTTACATATTTGACGAGGAATTAGAATTCATAATAATTAATTATTTGTCATTGATCAAAGTGATCAAATTTTGCATATAATTGTGTTACAAACGCTATAGCATCAAGCTACTTTTAACTACTAAAAAACATGAAGGCTTAGTTGCTAACAAAACCGCGTTCGGCGCCCTGATTGGCCGGCTCCAATGCACCAACCAATCAGAGCGCCTAACGCGGTTTTGTTTCGATCTCGCTAAACGTAAAACAGTACTAAGCCGTCTGTTCAATGAATATTCAATTTTATTACAAGACAGTAAAGTTGAAATACTTTTTTTATACTAACTATCTTGGGAAATACTTAATAAGTTGTAAACTAGCTTTATTAGTTTCAGACTGCAGAACATAATAAGAATATTAATAATTTAAATAGCTTGATGTTATACTTACTTTACTGCTAGGCATATTTTTGACGAACTTATTCTATTTTGAAAAATATATTAGGTTCGATATGGGCGGCATTCTCCCGTCGCCTTCAGACGCAGTTCCAACAACTACAGACACTGGTACACAGCATACAGAGCGGCGAGGTACTGGAGGACGACCCTCCCTCCGCGCTAGTGAGGGACTACTTCGGTCTACACAAGATTATTGTACTCGTCACTGAAGTTGGCAAGGTATTGTACCAAGATTTATATGCATACTACTTAATATATTTGAATTTCTAGAGATTCTGTGTGTTCTTTTTTCAACAATTTCAACAATTTCAAATAACTATTTGTAGAAAAGTCAAAGTATAGCTTTATTTCAATTAACTCGTCGAGTACCGGTTTTGTAGACACAATTATAGAACAATAGGTTGTGGTCACCGGTGACCGCTTGGTGTTTGACAGTTTAATACTTAATTAGACATTTTTGAAATGTCTAATTAAAAAAAATATTTGTCCGTTCGTCTGCCTGCCAGTGAAGCTAGACTATTCATGAAAAGAAAGGTTATTCTGATTTATGTGATAATTAATGTGTGGTCGGATTGAATTGTTCAACACAACGATATGTAAAAATAACGAAGAATTGTGTATATTTTATTAAATAAAGAAAATAATACACTACGAACAGTTCTTGATGAAGAATTTTTAGGATCTCTTTGAAATTTGTCATCATTATAATTTTTAAGACCTCGTAAAACGTCTGGCGTTGTTTCTAATGAACCATGTACTAATGTATTCCAGATCTTCGGCATGGACAACCTGTCGGGCTCGATCCTGTGGCAGCACTACGAGTCCCAGCTGGACACGGAGCACGCGGTGCTGTACACGCGCCGCGCCGCCAGACACCCGCCGCACGACGCGTACCTCACTGTCGTCGGGAAACACCAGGTGAGCGCCCGCGTCACTCGATAGTAAAATATCTTCATGTGTATCATACTGCATTAACTGGATTTGTTTAATTTAGAATCAGACATTTAATGCCAGTACAACGACAATTTAGTATTAGCCATTCTTTATTCTTTCAGTTTAAAAATATGTATGAATTTTCTGTTCATCATGTAGCTTCTGAACACAAGTCTCCAAATAACATCCAATTTGTAAAACTCATTACACGAGAATACTGTTTTTTCCGGGCATAATAAGTTGTCTTTATGGTATTCTAGACTTTTCTTCTTCTAATAATTTTTTCACCCACTTATTTGTCCAGGAAACAGGCAACGGCCTAATCATCAGTCTGAACCCTATCACCGGCTCCCTCATAGGGGAGCGAGTCCTGCAACTAGACGTCCAACTCCTACAGGTCGCTGTACTACACCAAGCTGATAATGAGAAGCTGCACGCTCTCATACTGCTTGATAAGGATGAAAATGTTCAGGTAATTTGTTACTGTCTATTTAATATTAACATTTTTTTAAATGTTTCACCACACCTTTCTTGTTGACTCGTTAAAGAAACTCAACGATCCCAGACATATATACGACCTTTATAGACAACTAGCTTCTACCCGCGACTTCGTACGCATAATCCCATTTTTTCCCGTCCCCGTTCGTGATTTTCGGTAAAAAGTAAAAAAAAAAAAAATTGGTTAAAAAGTATCCTATGTCCGTTTCCTGGCTCTAAGCTACCTCCCTATCAATTTTCAGCCAAATCTGTTCTGCCACTCTTGAGTTATAAGTGGTGTAACTAACACGACTTTCTTTTATATATATATAAGGTGCTCTATAATTATCTGCCACGGCTTTAATGGGAGGTAGTGTTATGTTTACAGATTACAATTGTGAAGAAATTTCGTACCCCGGCCCAGTTAATTACATAAAGTAATTAAGTAAACATTGACTACATTCTGCATAATGTCGTTCACAAATTACGCGCGATGCGTCGCTTAGTCAATGAAAACAATTGCTATCTCTTTCCACGTGTATTGAGAATGAAAACGGAAATCAGCTGACTAGTTCGTCACTATCTAATCTACTAGATACTCAATAGGCAGGCTAACAAGGGTTTTAAAAGTGCAATTACTTACCAGGTACGGCATTCTTCC